TCCTTTGGCTAAGAAAAGGGAGCAATGTTAACTTTCTAAACACTTTGACTTGAGTTTAACATTTGGTAAAACAAAACTGTGACCACTTTGGATGTGAAGATTGGGACAGAGATGTGGTTCATGTCAGGCATTGATTAGGGCATGAGAACCGCTGAACATGGCCTTGGTTCTCTTGAAAAGTTGTCCAGGAAGTTGTGGTTCTTCTTTAGCCACATCCCTTGGTGGTGGAGGTGGTGATGGGTCAGGTATTTGCAGAGGGTAGCAAGAAGCTGCTGATTGTTCTGTGCAATTGCCAGCTTGTGAACTATGTAAACAGGGGTGTTGGTGCCCACCCACCCCATCCTGTGAGATGTTGTCAGTTTTGCTCAGCCCCTGCCTCCTGTGCAGCAGACGTAGTCTTGTCCCCCTCATTCATCCTTTTTTATGTCTTGGTCAATCCTAGAAGAGAAGGGAGGGCAGGGTTAGTGTGAAGAATCTTGTCCTGAGGACCTGGCCTCTCCATAGCACAGGGATGGAGGTGGGAGCTCATGGGAGTTGAGTTCTTCCACCACCAAGCCCAGCCCCATCATTCAAGGCCTGTGTCCAAGACAAGGCCCAATTACTGGGAAGCAGGATTCATATGGACATGATCATCTGCCATAAAGCCTTCTTTCCGGGTCTTACAGACTGAACTCCATGCCCCCAAAACATGTGTCAACTCAGCTAGGCTGTGATTCTCAGCATTGTGCAGTTGTCCTTCATTTGGTCTGATGTAATTAACTTCCATTTTATGATATTCCATTTTATGTGTCATAAATCCTAACCTCCAATAAGACAGAATCAATGTGGGGGATGTTTCTTCAGCCTTTACAAGAGGGTGTGACTCAAATCACACTCTTCGAGTCTCACCCTTATTCAAGTCACAGTCTTGCTTGAGCCACACATTTTACCTTACAAAAGATAAAGAAGAGGGAAGACAGCAGAGAAAGGACCTCACTACGACCAAGAAAGAAGAGCTAGCATTGGAGTACGTACTTTGGATCCTGGGTCCATGTGCTGAGAACCTGGTAGACCCGGGAGAAGACTGATGTCAAGACACATGGAGGTGCCCAAGGAAGCAGAAGCTAAAGAGACAAGGACATCCCCCCAGAGCTGCCAGAGAGAGCCTTCCCCCCCCACAGCCTACCCCCCAGAGCTGCCAGAGAGAGCCTTCCCCCCACAGCCTACCCCCCAGAGCTGCCAGAGAGAGCCTTCCCCCCACAGCCTACCCCCCAGAGCTGCCAGAGAGAGCCTTCCCCCCACCCCAAACCTACCCCCCAGAGCTGCCAGAGAGAGCCTTCCCCTCAAGCCTACACCCCAAATTCAGACTTCTATCCACCTAAACGGTGAGAAAATAAATTTCTGTTTGTTAAAGCTGACTACCCGGGATATTTCTGTTATAACAGCACGAGAGAACTAAGACACCAGGGTTCCATCCGAACCAAAGGATTTGAGCACATTGTGAGTGAGTCCTTGTTTTTCCCGAGGGCTTTCTTGGCTAAATACAGACATCACCTAGTCATGAGAGGCAGAGCACAGGTGTGTGGACTCATGTGATGACTTGAGGGGGCTTTGTGGTTGAGTTTCCTGGAAACAGCAGGAAGTGGGCGAAGTCCAGGAACCCTGGGTCAGATACCACTATAAAGCTCCTCCCTCACCAGAAAAACAAAACAAAACAAAACAAAACAAAACACACCTGTGTGGCTGAACCAAGCTGGAGGTGCTCAGAAACTTGGGTCTTTGGAACTTGATTAGGCAAACTGTATCATGAGGGAGAAGTCCCTACCCAAAGGTTGACAGTGTGAATCCATCCAGAGGCATCTCAGAAGAAAAAATCCAGTGATCTACTTCTGAAAAGTCAGCCATTGAAAACCCTGTGGGGCGCAGTTTGATCTGACACAGGTGGGGTCACCATCGGCCAGAGGACACTTGACAGCGACTGGCTTATCCTGAAAGGAGACCCAGGACTGCAATACCTGGAACTCTCTGAAGGTCAGGGTCTAGCTCAAGTTCCCCACTCTGACCATGACAGCCAAACTGCAGGCCGTCACAGCCCCTGCTGTGTCAGGAGGAAGACTGGTCAGCATGCCATGATCAGGCTGCAGTATTGGGGGGGCGTATAGACTATGCTGAAGCAGACTCATCTTTTCATTAAATTTCATGTTTCATCTCCTGCCATTTTATTTATGTAGATTTGAATCAAATTGATGGCAACTGGCTTGGTTTTGGTTGCCTTTATATCTGACATTCTATTTTTACTTAAATATCAGTATCACTTATGTATTAGAATCTATTAAGAGAATCGTTACTCAACACTGGAGCGACATTCCAAGTAAAATTCTTGTTTGAGGAAGATATGCCAGGCTACCCTTGTGGTGAGGTGCTTTCCCCCACACAGCACTAAGAAGGCTTGGGCATCAATGTACTCCATTTTGAGGACAAAAGTCTTAGAAGAATGCAAAGGTAGTGGGGTCATCTGAGAAGAGTGAAGGGTGACAGTTTCTATTAATCCCCATGAAGAAACACAAATAGTAACTGCTCTAATGGGCCCTAGGACCTGGGTTGTGGAGGAACTTATAGATGTTGATTTTCTTCACTCTTCCTCTTCTAAGCGGTCAGCAGACAGCCCATGCTCAGGTCCTCACTGGTCATGAAATATTCAGGTTTGGTGACAGTACCCATCAGAGTCTAACCAGGAAAACTCTCCTATATATTTAAAAGAGGAGGAACCAAATGCAATATGGTACCCTGAATTGGATCCTGGAGCAGGAAATTACTGGAAAAACCTGGTGATAGCCACAGAAAGTGTACAGTTAATTATTACTAAATCAACTTGGAAGTTTGTTGGTTTGGTAATTAACTCATAGTTTTTTTGTTTTGACAAATGTACCATGATTATGTAAGGTGTTAACATTAGGGGAAGCTGGATGAAGGGTCTATGGAAACTCTTTGCAATTTTTTGGCAAATCTAAAATTATTCCCAGATAAGAAGTTCATCTAAAAAATGGGTTTCCAGAATGGACAGAAATGTAACAAACCCTTTGGCAGTGACAGAAATCCTAACTTTGCCGGTGGTTTCAGACAACAGTCAAACATCATCGAATTGTATCCATTAAATGGATACGCTGGGATGTTGTCAATTATTCTTCAATAAAGCTAACTAAAAATCATTAATTTCCAGGGGGGGAGCTCTGGTGGCATAGTGCCTAAGGCACTTGACTGCTAACCAGAAGGCTGGCGGTTCAAACCCACCAGCCACTCCTCGGAAAGAAGGTTGGGCAATCCTACTTCCGTAGTGATACCGCCTCGGAAACCCAAGGAGTGGTCACTTTGAGTCGGGTCCGACTTGACAGCACACAACAACAACAACAACAACACTTAACACCAAGGAGCCCCTGGACGTTGCCGTGGGTTACACTCTGGACGCGCTGAAAGGTTGGAGCTATGACCACCCAGAGGTGGCCCAGGAGAAAGATCTGGTGAGCCACGCTGGAAGGCCAGAACCTTCAAAACCGAGGGAGCAGCTCTAGACCGACTCGAATGCTGTCACCATGAGTTAGATCGATTCAAGGACAGCTGGTTAGATGGTTGGTTTCTATAATCCTACGTTTCAAAGCAGAGGTGCCCCTGCAGCCTGCCCGGATCCTACAGATTGAGAGAAAGCTTAGCGTGTAGGACCTGTGACCTAGAGACAAGATCAGCCTTATTGGAAGCCCTTGGGTAGGAAACACTAAGTCACCCACATCTGCTGCCCCTATCTCTTTCAGGGGAAGAGCAGAAAGAACAGGGGAAACAACTCTTCCCCTTTGTGGGATGTGGTTGATACAGAAACTCCCAGCAGCACCCCAGCTGTGCACCCTGCTCACTGTGCCTGCGGCGGGGCTGTCTGTCCACCGTGGGCTGCAGGTTAGGACACTCTGCTGGGGGGCTGCGCAATGTCCCCTCTGCCCACTGCCCTCCTGGGCCTCGGTGAGTCTGGGAACCATGTGGGAGGGTTAGAGGACGGGGCTGGTGCACTGCAGATTGGAGTCCGTCTCCCTGCTCAGTCCTGACTCCATCCAGGAGACTCTGGGAGCTGGGGGAGGAAAGCCGTCCGCTCCAGGGATCTACACACTCAGCTGTCACCACAGGTTGTTAGGTCTGACCGCGGAAGGTTAGGACTCGGAAGGTGCAGGGAGGTGGGGGGAGTTCAGATTTCACAGGGACTGGACTAATGCATTTGGAAGAGAGGGACTGGGGGTTTGTCTTGAAACTATGTCAGGGCCAGAAGGATTAAAGAGTCAGATTAATGTTGCAAAGTGATGGTTTGGAGACCCCCCTTAGGTCTCTGAGTGGTGCAAATCGTTTCCCTCCACTAGTAGCTGAAAGGTTTGGAGTTGGAAACCACCCAGAGACATCTTGAGATATGTTGTTGTTGTTATGTGCCGCGGAGTCGGATCCGACTCATAGCGACCCCTTCTTGGGTTTCCAAGGCGGTATCACTACGGAAGTAGATTGTCCAACCTTCCTTCTGAGGAGTGGCTGGTGGGTTTGAACCGCCAGCCTTCTGGTTAGCAGTCAAGCGCCTCAGGCACTACGCCACCAGAGCTCCTACTTGAAATACAGGGCTGTTGGTCAGCTTCGGAAAGGTCCTGGCCGTCAGAACCCTGTGGAGAGCAGTTCCACTCTGCACGTGTGGTTCTGCAATGAGTCAGAACCGATCCGACTGCGGTTCACAACGACTCCAAGGGCGAACCCTGGCTTCCCCCGTCAGGCCGTGCCTTGCCAGCTGTCCTGTAAGGAAGCGGGGCCGTGGCCGTTTCTCACTGGGGCTTCTCTTCCAGCGCTCTGCCTGGGACCAGGGGCCCAAGCACAACACGGTGAGTCATGTCTTTCAACTCCCCAGCCCTCTCTCCATCCAAGGGCAGCTGTTGGGTAGGAGGGATGCTGACTCTGGCAGGGACTGGGGAAGCCCTGGAAATGCATCTCAAATGCTTATATGACACACAGAACCTCTGCCCAGTTCTCTGGACCGTTCCAGTCCTGTCTTCTTCATGAGGATTAAAAAAATAAAAATGAAGTGCTATTTAGTCGACGCCAACTCACGATGGAGACCAATGGGTGTCTCAGTACAGCACAGTGGTCTGCGGGGTTTCCAACGGTTGATTTTTCAGAAGTAAACCCCCAGCCTTTCCTCTGAGGTGGCTCTGAGTGGACTCGAACCACTAACCTTTCAGTAAGTGGCCAAGTGCTCAATTTGCACCAACCACAGGCTCCATCTTCCTAGTAGCTCCAGTTAATGCACCAAAGACAGTTCCGACCCAGCACACCCACAGCTGGCCTTGACCTCTCTGCACACAAGCCAGAACCGCCCTGGGCGTCCCCTAGGCAGGGAATGCTACGGCCCCAAAGGGCAGAGTCTGGGGACCCATCCCAGAGCCCGTGTTCACCCTCCTGCCCCGTGTGACACCGCCCCAAAGCATGGGGTCTTACCTCCTCCATTTTCCTCGGGTCTTGTCTCCACACTGTCTCCCTGACCCCCTCCAGGGCACCTCTGCCTCTCGGCTCCACGGCTGCTATTGCCCTTGGCGGCTCTGCCCCCACCGTCCATCCCTGCCTGCTTCCCACTCACTCCCTTGTCCACCCCCAAGGTCATTTTATTTGCAGTGAACTCTTTTCTTTATACTTTCCCATTTATCCATTTATTTTATATTTTTCCTTATTTATTCAAGTCTTTTTTAATTTCACTTCATTTATTCTTAATTTTCCATTTCTTTCCTTTTATTTTAATTTACTCTTCACTTATTTCATATTTAATTTTTCATTCATTTTATTTTTTTCACTTCTTTTTATTTTAAATTTTAAGGCAGAATTTTCTCTTTCCTCGGAGCCCTCCCAGGTTCACCTTCAGGGAGCCTCAGACTCTCACCTGCCCTGAACTTTCTCAGCCGTAACCGGCCCCCTGCCATCAGGCTCTCTTATCTGCAGACTCCTGGGCTGTCTTCCAGTTTTTCACTGAAAGTTTCACTTTCAGCACAGTCCCGCTCCCCCCAGGACTTTCTCCCACGCTGACTTCCCCCAGCCCCCGTCTGCTCAGAGAGTAACTTCTCCTTAGGGCTCAGCTCAGAGATTCTGGGGGACGGAGGAGGCTAGAATTCCCTCTCGTCTGCTCCCTTGACTCCTGGACTCACCCTGGAGGAGAGTGTCACAGTCAGTACCAACTTCGGGCCACCACTGGCACTCCTGTGTCTCAGACTTTCATCTCCAAGAAGGCAGAGATCTAGGGTGAGCTCCTCTTATTTGTGGAGTTAGTGGTACATGAAGAGAATGTGTAGACTGATAAACAGAGAGGAAAGGAATTAAAATGTGGTTAGAAAGAATGAATGAGGGGATGATGACATGAGTAAGTGAATGGATGAGTGGATGAACTAATAACAGATGAGTGAGAGTGAATGAGTGAGTGAATGAATGAGTGAGTGAGTGGATGGAAACTCTGCCAGCCCCGGTTGTGGGCCTGGGCCCACCCTGCCCGTCCCCATCAGCCTTTGCTAACTTTGACACCATCTTCCTGTTTTAGACTTCACCCCCTCCTCTCCCTTAATGTCCTCAGCCAAGTTGAGACAGTCTGGGTCTTTTTCAAGAGGATTACTAATATAGTTTGGTAATAAGTTCCAATGAATGTAGAAAATACACAGGAAAACCTACAGGGGTTTTCTCAACAGACGACTTACGTTACACGCAGGGAGCCCTCTTTTGCTGGGTGTTCACTGGGAAACACACCTATGTCGAGCGTGTTCCCCACGTCCTTCCCTGGGTTCCCACAGCTTTGGAGACCACCCCTCTCCACGCACCTCACACCACCCCGTCAGGGACTAGCCTCAGCCCCGGACTCCTCCTTGCCTCTGTAGAAGTCCCCACCAACGTCCTGCCATCCTCACCCTTGGCCTTCCCCGCTCCTCGCTGTCCCCTGGAGAGTGGCCTTGGGCAGGGACAGAGCTGGGCTCTGCACAGACATGCCTGGGATCTGGGGTGGCTTAGTGACACACACGCCTCCCATGTGGCACTGAGCAAAAGTTGTGACCACGTCTCGGTGTCTTTCTTGTCAGGTGGAGAGAACAGGTCTGCAGTGGCGAGAGTTCATGTGGCCGTGCAATGGGTGTGGGTGGCCTTTTGGGGAAGACGGAAAGGTTTGGAGCTTGCGTTGCGGTGGTGGTTGCACAACTCCGTACATTTCCTCAAGTAACTGCACTGTGCGGCTAAAAACGGGTGGACTCCGTGGAGTGGAGGTTTCGCCACGAGTGTGCATTGAATGAATGTCCGCTCTGTTTCCCCAGGGAACCTGCGCAGACCCTCCATCTCAGCTGAGCCGGGCTCCGTGATCCCCTGGGGGAGCCCCGTGACCTTTGTGTGCCGGGGTCCTCCTGGGAATTATGTGTTCCGGCTGGAGAAGGATGGACAGGCCCCGTGGGCAGATAAAAGGACGTCTCATGAGAACGCCACAGAGGTCAGGTTCCACTTTCCATCAGCCCAAGGCAACACCGCAGGCCGCTACAACTGCATCTACTCGTTAAATAATGTTTATTCTGAGCGCAGTGAGAGCCTGCATCTGGAGGTGGCAGGTGAGGCACCGTGCAGGCCCCTCTCATCTCAGACTTTGTCTCCAGTTTTGTCTCTAGGTTCCTGAGTCCTACCCCCTGGCTCCCTCTCTCCCTCAGCACACACACTCTCTCGGAGACCTGGGTCTCGTGTGGACACCGTGGAAGACCTGGACACCTCACTGCAGCACTGAGAGGGGACAGGGCCGGGCACTGCTTCATGGCTTGGTGTCTTAGGCTAGAGGTTCTCTAGAGAAGCAAAACCGGTCAAACTTATACGTACACACACACACACACGGGAGCTCTGGTAGCGTAGTGCCTAAGGGACTTGACTGCTAACCAGAAGGCTGGAGGTTCAAACCCACCAGCCACTCCTCGGAAGGAAGGTTGGGCAATCTACTTCCGTAGTGATAATGCCTCGGAAACCCAAGGAGGGGTCGCTATGAGTCAGGTCCAACTCAACAACACACAACAACATATATATACACACACACATATGTGTACATATACACATGTTGTCGTTAGGTGCCATCGAGTCAGCTCTGACTCAGAGTGACCCTGTGTACAACAGAACGAAACACTGCTCGGTCCTGGGCCAGCCTCACATCCCTGCTATACTTGAGCCCATCGTCGCAGCCACCGTGTCAATCCATCTCATTGAGGGCCTTTCCCTTTTTGGCTGACCCTCCACTTTACCAAGCATGACATCCTTCTTCAGGGAATGGTTCCTTCTGACCACATGACCAAAGTAGGCGAGACGAAGTCTGGCCATTTATATGTACATATATTGTTCTGCTTATACATATATTGTTGCTTGGTTCTACAGTCGAGGCCAATGGAAGCAGCAGTCAGGACATTAGACGACATATAGCACTGGGTAGGTCAGCTGCGAAGGAACTGTTTCAAGTGCTGAGGAGCAAGGATGTCTCCTTGAGGACTAAGGTGCACCTGACACAAGCCATGATATCTCCAATCGCCTC